AAAGTTCTAAGTAATGGACCCTGGTATGGCTTTCTAAGGCAGGTGCTTTTATTAGTTTGTCAGTACCTGTAGTTCCAACAATGTCTTTTAATGAATAAAGCTATTTTCTACTGCAATACCTGAACTACTCACAACATAATCATTTTGTGAAATCTGATGGGACAAAATAATTGTATTTTAAGTCTTACAGATATAATATATCTTCCAGTATCTTCCTAATGTTACTTAGCACTTTAGCCAAGAAGTCCTGAATTGTTAGGATTTCATGTTTTGGTCCAATATAGCTGATCTGGAATATTTCCCTAAGTCAGCATTGTTTTAATTTCTCAATTTTGACCTAAAATTTTTAATTCCCTTTGAATTTTCAAAATCTCAAAAATGTAACAGGTAAAGAGGATTCCAAAATTCTTATTGATATATGGATGTTCTTCCCTATATTTTTATAGGTATGCCCAAACAGTATTTGCTGAAACAATTCCAGACAGTTCTGGTTCACATTTAGAACTAGCTTCAAGGCAAATTATAAATGTAACCCTGGTAACTGAATAGTAGTTTTTTCCATTGACATCATAGGATATTGTATTAACTTGCCAGATAACGGTTTATCTGTTATAATAATTTAGCCTTTGGAATTGAGAGTGAATTTCAAATTTAAGGACAAAATAGCCATACTGGAAATATTCTCCAATTAGCTATACTTCTAATTCAGCTACCTTAACCCTAAATATAAAATAAGGAATAACCATGTGTGTATGTTACAGAGAAATATAGACATTTGACCCAGGGCCGGTGCTTGGATTTTTAGGTACATAGGCGAAGATGCCTTTTTCCGCCCCCCCGCACCCTCCCCCGAAAAAAAACATCTTCATCTATGTGCCTCTTAACCAGCCCCTCTCCCCTCCCTGACCATTAGTAGTCCCTTCCCTTCCCTGTCCCTCAGTGTTCTTCTCCCCTCCCCCCTCTTTTCCCTGTCTCTTGGTGTTTCTCTCCCATTCCCTCCCTGTCCCTTGGTGCACCCCACACCCCTTTAGTGGTCACACTCCCCTTCCTGGTGTGCCTCCTACCTCTATTGTTGCATTGCCGAGTGGAGCAGATCCCCTAAAGGAGCTTCAGTTTTCTGTACCCGGCCGGACTGACAGGGACTGCTCTCTCTGTGAGCACCTCCTGTCAGTCTGGCCAGGTACAGGAAACAGAAGTTCCTGTACCGCGCTCTGCTCCGCTACACTCTGTACACACTGACAGTCACACACTCAATGACAAACACACAGACGTCACTGACAGACACAGACTCATTGATCTGACACACACTCATTCATTGACACTGACAGACCTACACTGATTGACACTCATTGACAGACACACTGATAGTCACACACAGACTCAATGACAAACATACTCTCACTGATTTGACAGACAGACACACTCATACACTCGCACACACACTCATACAATCACTCACAGACACACACACTGTCACTCACAGACACACACACTTTGTCACTTACACTCACAGACGTACACACTTTGTCACTCACACACACTGTCACTCACAGACGTACACACTTTGTCACTCACAGACGCACACACTTTGTCACTCACACACACTGTCACTCACAGACACACACATTGTCACACACACACTGTCGCTCACAGACACACACACTCTGTCACTCACAGACACACACACACTGTCACTCACAGACACACACACACACACACAGTCACTCACAGACACACACCCTGTCACTCACAGACACACACAGTCACTCACAGACACACACCCTGTCACTCACAGACACACACACACTGTCATTCACAGACACACACACTGTCACTCACAGACACACACACACAGTCACTCACAGACACACACTGTCACTCACACTGTCACTCACAGACACACACACACAGACACACACTGTCACTCACAGACACACACACTGTCACTCACAGACACACACACACAGACACACACTGTCACTCACAGACACACACACACTGTCACTCACAGACACACACACAGACACACACTGTCACTCACAGACACACACACTGTCACTCACAGACACACACACACAGTCACTCACAGACACACACAGTCACTCACAGACACACACACACTGTCACTCACAGACACACACACAGACACACACTGTCACTCACAGACACACATCACATGCCTCCCTACCTGGAGAGCTGGTGTGGATTATGGATCGGTCCCTGGGGCTGCTGGGAGGCGTGCGGCAGTGCTGTGAACAGGCGCGGCGAGGGAGCTCTAATCTCCACCCTCTGCTCCCTTGCGGGCTGCCTACTGATGCCGCGGGAGCCGGGTTGATGACGTCATATTCCGGCTCCCGCGGCATCAGCAGGCAGCGCGCGAGGGAGCAGAGGGTGGAGATTAGAGCTCCCTCGCCGCGCCTGTTCACAGCACTGCCGCGCCGGGGGTCGAGATGGTGGCCTGGCAGGAGGGAGAGCTTCCCTCCTGCCGGTCACTGAAATATTGCGCCCCCAGAGCCCGTGCGCCCTAAGGCGGCCGCCTGTGCCGCCTTATGGACGCGCCGGCCCTGCACTTACGTGTGCCAAATAGCAAATTAGCCCTTGTCCAAAAGGGCTCTGAATTATCCCTCTTGTCTAACTGCTGTGTTGCTTGTTTTATATCTTGTTTTGAGGCATCACATTGTACATTGTACACATTCACTAAAATGACCATTAAGGAATTACTCAATCTTGAAAAAAATGTTTTTTTAAAAGAAATATATATATATATATATATATATATATATATATATATATATATATATATATAACTTTCTAAATAATGTTTAGGCAGACACTTAAGCATGTTCTTTAGAACAAACAAGGACATTTTTTAATTAAAACATGTAACAATTTTCAAACTTGTTTTCACTATGCCAGCAATGAAAACTGTAAGGCTTCAATAAGTAAACTTTTCTAATATGATTGAAAACAATTCAATTCTAAGTTTTTTTTTTTTTCTTCCCTTCAGTCATAAATACGTAACAAGTCATAAAACTGGAATGCCACACACCTCATAGTTTACAAGTTCTTTTGAACCAGCAGTTTATTTTATTCTAACACATTTCAGATCTTTGCAGCGGTTTTACCTTAAAAAGTAAAAAAATAAAAAAAAAGCAAGATTACTGGGACTGAAAATTCTTTAAACTCCCATTCCCCGCACCCCCCAATTAAAAAAAAAAATCAAATATGTTTTTTAAAAAGGCTGTAACTGCAAATTTTATCAATTAATTGATAATTCAAATCATTGAATAAATGATGCTAGGCTCATCTGAAGTGTGTGTACATGTTGGGGGCAAGAATTATAAACAAAGTAGAAATATATTCTCGGTATAATATTGTGAAGGGGGAGCTATTAAAAAAAAAAGTAGTAATTCCCTTTTTAACTTTGTGAAATTGAAAAGATTATCTGAATAACTTTCTTAAAAAATCAAGTGCCAGCTGAAAGAAAGTTGTTCATATACATATGTTTTTTAGGAGTATACATCTTATATCAACTCCAAATGCTACTCTTTAGCGTTTTAGAGTTTACTTGCACCTTTAAACACCTGTCTCTTGTGTACATTGTGGTGTACCAGTGTACAGAGCTCAGCACAGAAATGGCAGGATACATACAAATGTAAACGCATAATATTCTGAAAAGCGTGCTTAAAATCAGCAGAATTAACATTCTCAAACATCAGCAGTGTGATTTGTGAATTAAATGCCCTGAAATGTGAAGTTTGGAGGAGAGCACATTTTAGATTTTGGTATTGCCTTTTTCTTTCTTTTCTTTTTTCAAGTTGAGATAGTAGATTCGGTTTTCCTCTGGGTATGTAACCTTCGACAAGGGTAGCTTGCAGATTGCTGGGTTATTTGTGGTTATTAATAGGAAGATGAGAGCTGAGAGACAAAATGGCCATGTGCATGACGGCAACCCAACCTAGAAAGGAAATGAACATTCTAATGATAATTTACTTTTGCAAACAAGGTAAAATAGGTAACTTTGGGGGAATTGCTTTAAAATGAACCATCCGTTAAAAGTAACTGATGACAAGGTCAGTATCAGTGCAATATTTTCAGGGTTGTTTAATAAAGTGAGTAATCAAGTTGAATTCAAAGTGAATTTCAAATTGAAGGTCTAAGTAGTTGAACTGGAAAAACTATTAAGTCTGCTATTTCTTTTCAAATTCTCGAGCATTATTTTGAATTTGCCTTGAATTCTCGATTTAGTGAATAACCCATTGTCATGTAAATGATGAGCTAGTCAAATTTCCATTGTTTTTGAAGGGTGTTTCATGGTGAATTATACAGCATGCCATCTATTTTTGAAATTATATATTTATGGGACAACAATAGGCACCCAGACCACTTCATCTCAATAAAGTGTTCCAGGTGCAGTATCTCTTTCTTCCTGACAGACACTGGAGGCACTTCTTTGCCCAGAACCAAGTTTGACTCGTTAATGAGACAAATGCTCTCGTAGAGACCATTTCATTAGTAAAGTGGGCTTTTTGCCTTGCGTGGACACTAGCCTGATAATGCTTCACTGGTGAAGCATTGGGTTAGCTGAGATCATCACAACGGATGACTCAAGCTGAGAAGAAGTTTGGACAGCAAGGGCTTTAAGGTAAGTAAATCTCACCTTTCAAACCCTCACCAATATAGGTAGATTAAAGCTATAGTGTTAGGAATATATGTTGGTATTTCTAATGTTATTGTGATCCTTGAACTCTGGAAATGTTATTGCCAGCTCTCCTCAACAATTTCCACGAAGAGAGTTTAAAGATTCATTTCATTCGTTGAGCATATGATAAGACATGTAAGTAGTAATAGTTTCTAGATAATGTTATCATACAGTAAAACCTTAGCAGATTATTGATTTTATGTTACTTTTAGGCCGCCTGACTGTTGACCGGTATTTGTATAGGTGAAAAGTAAAACAAACAATTAAACATATCCATAAAGTTCACTTATAAAGTTTGTAGAAATTTAAGCACAGTTTTAATGTTTCTTTGTATCGAGGATCACATAGGCTTTACTGGGGTTAATATACAACTGTCCTTAAATTTAAATGACTTTACCATGTCTTGCAGACTACAGATGTAAAACAATGTGATATATAATGCACAATAATTACTCAACCAATGTAACCCTGCAGAAGGTTGAATGCTCTGGTTAATCAGGCCAAATCCAGTTAATCCTCGCCTCAGCAATGTGGGTTTATAGTCATGGATTTCCACGGCTACAGGCACACAATTTACATTCCAGTTTGGGACACTAAAATCAGTGGAACATGAAAGGTAGGCACTCTAGATACAACTTAATTGAATCAGGTGTCCTAAGCCAGTTTGATACCACCAGAAGTGTCAAGGGCTTAACCCTACAAAGTCATATTTTTTGTTGATGGATTAGGTATACCGCATGTTACATTGTATTGTAATTATTACAGGAGATTTACAATACCACTACCAGTTGGGACTTATTACTTTATGTGGTTTTTGTTCAATTCGCCATAAAGGAGAAAGGCTTAAGGGCTCAGGATATTAGCTAGAAATATTTTGTGGATGGCTCAACTAAATAATTCTAAAGAAAGCAGTTGATTTTGAGTTCAAGGTAAGAGGACACGGGTAGGGCCAGGGAGTAAATAGTATACAATACTAGGTCAATACTATGACTTCTGCAAAATATTACAAATAAACTTAAGAAGGGGAATGGAGTGATAATTTGTCTTTCCAAGACTTTGAACAAATTAATTAACATCAGACAAAAAAAAAAAAAAAGTAATGCTAGCGGTGATAATGGCAATTAATGTTTTTTCTTCTACCAGGCAAGACCACCAAAAAAAACAAAACCCAAAACATAGAACTCTTCCCACGGCTAGAACAATATGCTTCCCAGTCAAAATAATACGTACCACAGACATCATATTCCCAATCGCTGCCCCAAGGTATGCGCAAAATAAAGCTGCAGACAAAAAAAAAAGAAAAAAGAAAAAAAGAATACAGTTACGTGGATAGGTGAATAGAACACCATATGTGGATGTGTTAATGAACAGATACAAGGTTATTATTTCATATCACGTTGTATACTTCATAAGGAGATTATTTGAGAAAGCCAAATTGTTGTATGTAATTTGAAATTATGCTAGCTTTAGTGTACTTATAATC